CTATGAAAAGGCCATGTGTCTTCAGTGACAAGGACACAAATACAGTTGTTTTGGTTTTGTTTGCCTCCTCCTCAGGCCCTTCCCACTAACATTTCAAGTAATAGGGGAAGGGAAGGGAGAAAAGATCCCTTCGAAGAGCCTGCAAAAGATTAGGGATGGGCCTTCTGTTTTTCTTTCTTGTTCAGGGCTGGGGATTAGAATGAGGGCGTTAGGCAAGGGTCCCACCCACTGAGCTATCCCCTAGTTCGTGTCTAAAGAGAGAAGGCGGGCTGGGGAGAGGGAAAGAACAAGCTCTAAAAACAGCTCAACTTAATAGATGGTTTGAATTTATAGTTGTTCCCTCAAACTGTATTTGAACATCTTAACAGTTTGTTACTTGAAGCCCCATGTGAACAAAATGCCATAGCCAGAGCCATCTCCAAATTTGGAGGAAAGAGCTAGGCTCTTACAGGTCACTGTGACTAAGGGCCCCTCATTCTCTCCCTGTCCGGTGATCATCAGCAGATTTCCTGAACACATGTAGAGTTTGTACAACACAGACCTGTAGCTCTGACCTGGATGAGGGACACCCCCTTGTGGGTCTCCACCAGGATATAAGCCTACGGTTTCCTCATGGCAGCTCCTATGTAAAATGTCTTGACCCCAAACTTAATCACTCACAGAACCACGTGTCCTCTTCATTTGGAAATGCCAGTCACCACCCCTCCTGCCCCACTCACGCTAATGACTCAGGGCACTGGTGGGCATGAATTTCTGACTTTTGTAATGGTTAACAATGGCATTCCTTTATTTATTTAGCATTAGAGGCCTCAGATACCAAGAGCTGGACTTCCTAGCCATTTCAAAGGCAGTTGCACATCCGTACGTAGGAAAACGGCCTTTAAGATTACTAAGGCTTGGAACTATTTTATTTTGTATCCACAGACAATACGCAAGCTCTTTTCAGAGACGCCCATGTGTCTTTAAATGTTGTGTATTTTACCTCCTTTCCTAGCTGTGACTCAGGCCAGCCCTGCACAATTGAGTTCAGAAACATCCATTCAGCAGAAGGCAGTCCTTGCAGCGCTCAAGGTTCTACAGTCCAGTACAAACAAACCCTGGCAGCACCAAGCGACTCCTTTGGCAATGCCTGAAGGGCTGTGTCCAAGAGCAGACCCAAAGCTATGATCAAAATCAAAGCATGACCTAGCATCTCTTAGGAGTTAAGATGAATGTTTCTACCAGGGAAATGTGACAGCATTGTTACATGGTTCGCTGATGCATGATGTTGAGGTACGGGGAGAAGGAAACGGATGGAAACAACTAGGGTTGGCCGCCATTGCCCCAGGGACAGTATTGGAAAGGGCTGAGGGACCCATACAGGTGACCTCAAAAGGTCTAACACCAGTATGATGAAGAATGTCAACCTGACAGCAGGATAGAGATGTTCTGTCTGGTTTGAAAGATACTTGGAGGGGCTGGAGAGATGGCTCAGAGGTTAAGAGCATTGCCTACTCTTCCAAAGGTCCTGAGTTTAATTCCCAGCAACCACATGGTGGCTCACAACCATCTGTAATGGGGTCTGTGTGGCCTGCAGGCATACACACAAACAGAATATTGTATACATAACAAATAAATAAATAAAAATGAAATCTTTAAAAAAAAAAGATACTTGGATGTCAGTCCTAATGATCAGTGTGGTATCACTTCTACCTTAGAGGTTTGGGGCTTCTGTGAGGAAGAACATTGGTGGGAATTCCCAGGAGAACTCTGTGTGAGGCCAGAAACACCACACATTCCAGAAACATGGAGGCTCTTAGCATGCACCACAGGTCTCACCGCTATTCTCTAACATTCCTTACCAACAACTTTACTGAGTAGCTACCGGGTGCTGGACAATGGACATGGGATTTTCTTGTGCTAACTAGGCTTTCTATATGCTTTTAAGAAACATCTATTAGATAGCACATGAAAAGGGAGGAGGGGGAGACAGTCTGTGCAATGGATGCTGCATTGTCTCGTTTGTGAGTGAACATTAGCTGGGAAGGTCTGGCAAGTGTTAACAAAAAGACAGAGCTGTCCTGTAACAGCAAGCATGCGAGAACATGTTACAAGCAAGAGGACAGAAAGCAAAAGGAAGGAGACTAGCTAGATGCCCCAATTTTTAGATTAGGGGCTAAATTTCTTTACAGTGGGATACTAGCCTGGTCTGTCATAGGTAGGGCTACCAATGGCTTTCCCCAAGTGAGGGCTGCCTCCTCCCACAGCAAGCACTCATGAGGGGCAGTAGGCAGTAGCCTCCATGGGAGGGAGGACCAGATTCATATATCCTAGAAATTCCCTTTGTGCGCTGATGGCATGCATCCTGTTCTGGTCCCTCCCTCCATTGTCCCAGCTGTTTTTCTTAGTCATGATGGTGGGTGTGGGGGATCCCCAAAGAGCTTCAACTGGCATTCACAAACATTTTTCAGGCTCAAACTTGCATGGCCTGAGAGAGGTTGACATCTCACCCTGTGCCACTATAACCTTTTAAAGTCGCTTCAACATCTTGAGAGGACAATGCTTGCACATTATATGTAGGCATGCATTCAGCAGGAAGATCGTCTTGTGATTTATCTTTTACCCACCAGATTGGTGGCTAACATCAATCTGATGGTAGTATAGAAATGCATTACAGTCTGGCTTTCAAGATGCTTAAATGCCATTCCTGATGGTTATGTGGGGTCAGTCTCCCCTTCGGAACATCATCTACACCTACTCTGTCTTGGTGCCCTTTAGAGGTTGCCCAGAATATGAGGGGCCCAGGAAGATGGACCAGGTCATAGGCTGAAAGTGCAGAAGCCTGGGTTTCAATATCTTGGGCAGGAAGAGGTGCCCTTCAAAGCATAATCCCTGGAACCAACAGCCACAGAGGGATGCGCGAACTTGGTAGAAATATAAACTCATTCCCAGGCTCACACAGACTTGCAGAATCTTGTGGGATGAGGGGAGAACCAATGGTCATATTGCACCCCTACAACCCTGAGCTGATAGTCCAGAGTGGAGCAAGACCGGATTCTCAGTAACTAGATAAGGAGGTGGGTTGGACAGATCCAGGCTCTTATCTGAAACTATTTAACAATCATTGCATGCTGTATCTAAAAGACAAACATTCAGTGAGAGGCTGGAGGGGGCTGTAACTCCACATAGACCCGCAGGTTTTGAATGGTCTTGCCTTGATACAAGAAGACAGCATTCTCACAGTCTTCCTCGCAAACTTCTAAGCCTCAGAAGTAGTGCCCATGTGGCACACCTTTTGTATGAAACAGCTTCGAAGAATTCCAGGCAGGGGCAGAGCTAGAGTTAGAGTCAGCCCCAGGGAGGTCTGGTAGAGACGGATCCAGTTTTTAGGAGTCCAAAATTTACATAATTTTGACAGTTCATTTAGGACAAACAATACACAACATATTGTATAGAGCTCACAAGCATGTGACGAACGTATTACTAGGTCTCTGAGAAGCAGCGTCATAGCCTTTCCAACATGGAGACCTGAGTTCACACTCCGTCAGCCCCACAGCAAACCCACTTCTCACTCCAGGCCCAGGGTACACGCTCCTATCCTCAGCTATTTCAGTGTAAACTCTGACTGTGCATGGACAATACCAGTCCAGAAGCTAGCATGTATCAGCTCATCTTCGTCCATCTTTCCCTTTTTGGTGGTTACTGTCATTTGCAGTCACTGTGCATAAGTTTAGAACTGGTCCTCAACTATGACAGGAGGTAGAGACTTCTTTTATTTTCCTATCTCAGGGGCCAGGTGACATGGCTCCTTTCCTAGTTAACTTTATCTATCAGCTTGACACAGCCCAAAGTCTTCTATCTGAGTCTCAAGTACAGGATCGCCCAGGTCCAACTGGCCAGTGGTCAGGTCTGTGCAGGACTGTCCTGACTGATGATGGGTGCAGGAGAGCTCAGTCCACTGTGGATGCTATCATCCCTAGCCTGGGCTGCAGAAGAAAGCTGGTTGAATAAGAGCCTGAGAGAGCAAACCAGGAAGCAGTATTTATCTGTGGTTTCTGTTTCAATTCTTGCCTTGAGTTCTTCTTCTGACTTCCCTCAGTAAGGGACTGTCAGCTGGAAGTGTAAGATGAAATAAACCCTGTCCCCCCTAGGTTGCTTTAGGTCATGGTGTTGATCACAGCGACAGAAAGCAAATGAACACAGTCGCCTAAATTAATCAGACTTTAAACAGGCAGCTTTGGGGGAGGCATTGACTCGTCACACTGAGCTCACATTTCCAAACAAATGCTGTCCTTTTCTCCCTCGGCCCTCTGACAACCCGTGCCTCTTCTTGTCTTCTAAGCAAACAACATTCTTCGTCTGTAATTAATTTAAGGGCCAAGGCTTGAACCCTGAGCCTTGGGATGAGCTAAGCAAGCACTCTGCCAATGAACCAATTCCTTCATCTCCACTCTCAAATACAAAATAATTTTGATCTTGTTCCCCTAATCTTTAATGGTAAAATGGCCTGCCTGATGCTCACATAAATAGACAGTAGAACCAGGTAGCGACTCAATATCATTCAGCCACCCTCTTGTGACAGCAAGGCTCCCTTTTCACACTGAATGTTTAAAGCCTCAGATGTATCATTGGAAGCAGAACATAGCAGTTTGATCCTGACCTCTGTCCTTCCCCAGTATAGGCCCCACCACTTAAGAGCACACAATTAAACCCCACTCTCTGCCTTTGGAGTTGATACTCCTGATGACAGTTACCCATTATGCCAGTTAGCGTTCTACAGAGCCCCGTGACGTACCTGAAGAGACGCCTACAGTTTGCCCCACACTGTGAAGTTACCCTAATCTCCCTCTGCCCCTTTGGATACCTGGGGAAACTTCTTAGACCCACATGTGACTCCAGAGTTTAGTCTGGGAACTAAGGCCCGCGTCTGGCCGGCCTGCCCATGGTCTGCTATGCATGGTGTCCCCTACCTCCCTGGGGAGAAGCCATTGGGTGGAAGGTGTCGCGGGCGCAGGCTCTACCTGAGGACAGCAGGCTCCCACTGCTGCCGCTGATGATCTTCCCTTTGCTGCCCATGTTGGCCAGCTTCGAGGTCTTCAGCGTCCCTGTTTCTGTTAGGTCAATGGCGATCTCGCTCAGACTCCGTGCTGCATGGATCTTGGACTGGAAAGGAAAGGTGAAATGGTTATGAAAGGGGCAGAGAACACTCACTCACTTGTAGTCCTGAAGACAGGTGGCTCATAAGCTACAAACCGGAATTCACAGCGCAGGATTCCCCAGGCGTCACAGCAGAGTGTGAAGAGTGTGGTCTTTGCAGTGTATATTCTGGGGAAAGTATTTAATCTCCTTGAGTTTTATTATTCCCAAATATAAATCAGGGGAGTTACCACTGACCACAGAGGGGTGAACTGGAGTCAAAGGAGACAAGCCGTGTGTGGGACATTCCCTTCTCTCCCTCTAGTCCTCACCGCTTCTCCTTTCTCCTTGACAGAGAAACAAATAGAAAATTGTACCAGGTCAGTAATCTTAGCTACTGGGGTTGGGGGTGGAGGGCTGAGGCGGGGGGATTATAAATTCATGGACTGCCTGGGCCAAAGAGCAAGTTTAAAGTCTGATTGGACAATTTATTGGGGGACCCATTCTTAAGATAAAAAGTAAAATAAGTAGGCATAGCTCAATTGTGCGGGAGAATTGTCTGTATTCTATCAATCATGTATTTTACTAAAACGCTGATTGGCCAGGCAGGAAATATAGGCGGGTCAGCCAGACAGGAAGTAGAGGCGGGGCGATGAGAACAGGAGACTGCTACGAAGGAGGAAGCCCATTCCTCCAATTCCAGCCCAGACCACCAAGAAGCAAGATGTAACCTGCCCTGCTAAAAGGTACCAAGAGCCATGTGGCTAACATAGATAAGAATAATGGGTTAATATAAGCTACAAGAGCTAATAAGAAGACTGAGCTAATGGGCCAATCAGTTTATAATCTTAGGGAGATCTCTGTGTGATTTTTTTGGGGGCTTGCCAGTTGTGGGTACTGGGCGGGACAGAAACCCCAACAAGCAGGTCCTCGTGTTACAGCTCAATGGTAGAGAACTTCTCTAATATGTACAAGATCCTAGGTTCAAGCCCTAACACCACACACATGCACGCACGCACTCACACATGTACATATATGCACAGGTACACACATAGTTGTGACTATACTTATTTTATGCTTAAATGAGGAGAAAATAACTTTTTAGCTTTATGAATGACAGATGAGATTTGGAAAGCAAAGTCATGAAATATCAATAAATTTAGAAGCTATTAAATATCTTCAGTTATTACCCATGTGACCAGGGAAAGTTTAGGTGCTAGATTACTGGTATCTGTAAAGACTATACACAGACAGAAACCTCTGGAATACTCAGGTCCCTCCAACAGTATCTATGTCGAGATTCACTTCAATTCTCACTGATTAAATCTGTGAAGGCTCCAAAGTCTTCATATTGGGGTTCAAACCTCACTCCGCTTTGTATGCAGATCAGCTGACCCCATTGGACAGACAGCCACAGAGGCGAGGAGAATCTCAGACCGGTTTTGTTCTGTGATTACATCCCTAAAAGTGATCGTTTCTTCAGTAAGGCTATCTGCTTTACTTTGCCACACCGTTGGTAAAGTGGAAATGTGCTAGATTTTCTGCCTATTGACATGATTTGGCTTTTTGCAATATGTTGCTATTATTTTATAAATCAATTTTTTAATGATACCATCAGCATCATGCAAACCACTACAGCTGACAGTCAAAGCACACATTGGCTCTGTGGTGGAGCTGGATGAGCCAATGGTGTTGCTGCTGCAGGACAGCAAGGCTTTCCGCACCCACCAGGCTCCAGACAGAGCCGACAGCTTTGGCAAGGCCTGCACACCACAGTCCCCTCTTCCTGATTTACAGGCTTCCTCCTTTGCCCAGGGGCTGTTATTTGTCCCACAAAGGCTGTGTGGGCCCTTAAGGCCTTGCCCTTCCTCTGGCCTCAGACTTTGTTGCCTCTGCTGATGAATGACAGTGATTTCCGGCCCCTGTATGCTTTCTTCCTCTTAACAAATGAGCGTCTTTGGCCAGAAGAAACACCGAGAGACTTTTTTTTGTTTTTGTTTTGTTCACCTGATGTGAACCATCCTCCTTCTCTCCTCCTTCTCCACCACTGCTACTGTGACTTGGATCCCCTTCCCAACCTCCACTTTCTTCCTTACAGAACCAGGCCGACTTCCTCAGGTTAGGGCCCTCTGGTACATAAACAAGCCCAGCTGCCAGGCCTGGCAGCCTTTGGCTGCAGAAGGAAGCAGGATGGGCTTTCTATTTCATAGGGACTCCGCATATCTCCAGCACCCATCTGGCTGTGTTTTATCACAGGCAAGCGGAGTGCACACACAATCCATGACTTCCCCTCTTTCTGCAAGACTGCTGTGTTCATAGAAGAATCACACACTTAAACGACTTCAGAACAGCAACTCATATAGCACAGTGGCGAGGGCGCAGAGCTTCTCCTGCTCGGTCACTGTCAGACTTTGATCCTTGACCTCTCTGATCCTCAGATGCCTGTTTATAACATTGGGATCTTAAAGCCCACATTACAGAGTTGGGATAAGGACCCACAGTGGATACTGTATGTCAAGGTCACGGCCATAGGAGTGGGATATAAATTAGGACCTGGATGTAATTTGTGAATAAGGTTAGATTGATGGCTCTACTTGACATTTTAAAGATACCATTAATCACATGGAAAACCTGTTTTCAAATAAGCCCTCTCCTCTCCTGCTTAGACATTAACCCCAGAGGCAAAAAAAAAAAAAAAAAAAAAAAAAAAAAAAAAAAAAAAAAACACAAATACAAGAGCAGGAGTAGCAGCTAGCCTTTTTCTAATGTGGTCTAGATTCTGGTGACTTTAAGACTTTTCTGGAATGAGCCTATCACAATGGCCCAAAAGATTGCTTGTAGGATGAGAACTAAGAAAAAATATAACAAACAGTTCCAGGAGATTGATTCCCTTCTTGCTATGTTGGGTCTCTGGGCCAGCCCCAGAGTCCCTACACACCCTCAGTGACCGCTCAGATGTTCTGTGAGCAAGCAAGCCTTAATTTGCTCTATCAGGCTGTTGATTTTAGGAGGAATAAATAGATTGAATGAGGAAGGGAAAAAAAAGGAAGATGTCTGCACTGGAGCCTAAGTCCAGCAAGCACCACTCTAAGGTCAGAGGAAAAGCAGCCATTAGTTCCTCTAGACAATGTGAGCTTTGCCCTGAAGTCTCAAAGTCAGTCTTTGGCTCCAGGATGCAGCGGCCACTGGATACTTTTGACAGCACTTCTGAACTTTAGTAACAGCAGATATATATTACCAGTTATAATAGATGTCCGCAGAACTTCACATGTTTAATAAACTGCAGGGAATCAACTTCCCTCCACTCTGTTTTTTATGGTGGAGGGTTTTCTTCATGTACATGTTTGAGGAGCTGATGGAGGAAGAGGAAGTGGGAAGAAGGGAGACGGGCAAATGGGGAGAGAGGGAACAGGGGATGCTTGCTCTTTCCTTCCTTCCTTAGTTCTTTCTTTCTTTCTTTCTTTCTTTCTATCTCTCTCTTTCCTTCTTTCTCCCTTCCTTCCTTCCTTCCTTCCATTCCTTCCTTACTTCTTCCCTCCCTACCTCTCCTCCTTCCTTCCTTTCTTTCTTCCTCACATGGTTTCTCTGTGTAGCCCTAGCTATCCCAGAACTCACTCAAAAATCAGGTTGGCCTTGAACTCAGAGATCCACCTGTCCCTGCCTCCCAAGTGCTGGTACTAAAAGTGTGTACCAACACTGGGAGGCTTTCTTAAATGGTTTGCACAATGACCGGGAGGTACTCTGGGTGTCAGAGAGGAGGTATGCGATCTGTTTTGGCTAGTGCTCTCACTGACTCAAACCACTAGACTGTACTTGTTTCTATAGCTTGATAAACATCACTTGGGAGGCCTGAACTGTGCTGGGAGCCCTTCAGAGAAAGGAATGGTTGGCATGGCCCCATACAGTAGAATGTGAAGCACTGCCAGGATGCCAGCCCACACTGGCTGTCCAGAAATATGTGAAGCTTTCTATCCCAGGCCTGTTGACAATCACTCACAGAATCCCTGCTGCCCACCAAAGATGGGTCACATGACATCCCAGAAGCGAACTGTGTTGTAATGTAACTTCTCCTGAGTGTTTCACCATCTCGGACTTAAAGTGGGGTCTTCTCAGATAGTTTAAACTTGATGCAGCACTGGACAAGGGAATGTGCCAGCTTAGCTATGACGTTAGTAAAACACAAATTCCCTAAAATAAAACACGTATTTCCTAAAGCAGTTTCACAAATACCATGTCATCTCACCAACTACAAATCTGGGTCAGGAAGTTCCTTTTCTGTTCTCTAACTGGGGAAAGCAAAAGGCATGTGATAAGAGGTCTTCCCAAGGTCACAGAGCTGGGAAATAGTCCTCTAACAGCCAGACAGACAAACTTGGTCTTCACCTGCCTGTTAGGTTCACGAACTGACTCTTAGGATACATGTGGGTCTGAGGACAAGTTCAGTGGTAGAACACCTGCTTAGGAGTAAGGTCCTAAATTCAATTCCTACTACAGCAAGAAAGCAAACCTTTTTTTTTCTTTTAAATTTTCGTTCAATACATGTCTAGGCCTCTGGGACATTTGCAGTCATGTAAAGACCCCTGGGTAAAATTCTATTCCCCCTGGGAATTTGGTTATTTTCTTCTGTCCTTCAAAGTGACTAAGAAGGACAGTTAAGAACTTCCTCATACTTATGGCCCTTTGGATTTGTCTCTTTCTTTCTTTCTTTCTTTCCTTCCTTCCTTCCTTTTTTTGAGGCAGAGTCTCACTACGTAAGCTGCCTTGGCTAGCCTAGAACACTCTATAGATTACAGGTGTGAGCCACCTATAGCTGGGTTTGTCTCTTTTTTAAAAAAATTATTTATTTTTATGTGCATTGGTGTGTTGCCTGCATGTATGTCTGTGTGAGGGTATCAGATGCCCCTGGAAGTGGAATTAGAGACAGTTATGAGCATGTGGTAGCTGGGAACTAAACCTGGGTCTTCTGGGGAGCAGCCAGTGCTCTTAACCACTAAGCCATCTTTCTAGCCCTGAGTTTGTTTCTTAAACAGTGCTAAAAAGTGATTGGTGATCATTTTTTTCCCTAAGCGTCACTTAATGTATCCTTGACCCATTGGAAATCTGTTGAAAAAGGCTTCTCACAGGCAATGTGGGCATTTTTTTCCCCCAAAGAACCCCAAGAATAGGCTACTTGACATACCAGAAAACTGCAAAAAAGAAAAAGAAAAAAAACCAGCATGGGGAGGAGGGCCTCAAGCTGCTGACACTGCACAGTCCTGGGGTGCAAAGGCTACTTCCTCTCCCCACTGCAGACTATGGTATTAGAGTATGGGGGAGGGGAGGGTTCTGCACTCTCCAGCCTTTCGACCATTACTACCCACCAGCTAGCAACACAGGATGGAGTTAATGTCTGTGGGTGTTGACCTCCAGCTCCTCCACTGGAGAGCAGGGCACTAGCCCCCACCCACGGTCTCAGCATCTAATGTGAGTCACACCCCTGTGGCCCTGCTTCTTTTGATCTAATCAAGCTTCAAAGGCCTGTGCCAAGACCCATCATCACTAAAGGAGTGTGGAACACTCTCATGATTTCCAGCCGCAAGAGCACCGCCCTGCCCCCAGACACTGTCACCCCAAAAGTGACTAAATAAAGAGGCCAGGAAGACTCAGAAAAAGAATCAGTGCTTTCCAAGCTGGCAGTGGCTGTGACGTGGGGCAGGCCCTGATTTGGGACTGAACTGGGGCAGGGGAGTGGCTTCACCCCTGACAGTATCCTTTCGCCATCTCACTTCCAGCTCCCACTTTCTCCTCCAGAGGTGAGGAAAAACCCACAGTAAAGGGAAAAAGAACCAAGAGGGTACCAATCCAATGATCTCCATTCTTTTAAATGCCACTAGCTCCTAAGAATACCTATACAAGGGGAGACAACTTCCTGTGGATGGGGGAACCCACTAGAAGGACCAGGGAGGGCATCACCTGAGAGTCCTAACACAAACTTAGAGCCATCTCCCCCGGCAGGGGCCCTTCTGTGCTTCACTGAATGGGAGTGGCCTGTGCGGTCCCTGGAAGAGGAGGAAGGAAGACAGGTGGAGGGAGGAGAGGCCAGAGTGTTGCTCTAAGCTGTGTGTGAACCAAGAGCGCGTCATTCTCCCACCCACCAGAAGGCCCAGCTGGCTGTCTGGGCTGGGGGTGGATGCACCTCTTAGGCCCGGACGTGGCAATTTCCCAACGCCCCAGGCTCCAGGTCTACCTGAGGGAACCGGGTCTGCTGCCGCCTTTGTGCCTTTGTTTTGTTTTCCTTTTCACTTTTCCAGTTTTACATTTTAAAAACAGAGTTGGCAGTTGGAAAAGCCTGAAGGGCTTTTCACAGCAGTCTCCCTAGATGGTTGGGTTAGTCTTGTGTATTGGCTGAGGACGGTTATCTCTGTGGTCGTTCCCCCCACCTCCCCAAGAAAACACTATACCACTGTTTAAACATCAGCAAGAGTTTGAGAGAGAACTCACTCCTAAGAGAGCCTGAGAGCCTCAAAAAGTATGTTCAGAATTCCTAAGGACCCTACATGGCTGTACCTGAGGCTTGAGCACCTCTGCTGGTGGCTGGGCCAGAGCCCCTGACAAGTAACACCCAGTATGGCCTCTTAATGATTTGATGGCCTTCCTTCTACCTGCAGCCCTCAGAGGCAACTCCTTACCTAGGTAGGTCTCAGGCCAAGGACACCCATCTAATTTCCATCCCTAAACTGCTGCCTGGTGGAAGGTCACCTACCTTACTTTGCTTTCTGTCCAGGTAGAACTGATGTTGGCTAATCGCCATCGCCCAAATGGACTTGATCAATGCTGGACATGCATACCACGTGTGCACAGCAATGCCACTGTGCCCAAAAGTCCTCCTGGTCACCGAAGCCCTGGAAGAAGAAGAATCACAAGCTTCATTCAGTCTCTGCGACGGGGAGAGGCCATTCATCAAACAGCTATAAGCGAGAGTCCAGTGGCATGAAGGGGACAGAGGAGCTTACAGAGAAACAAGCATACAGGTCCGCATACACTGACGGAGTCACATGGCCATGCCCTGCATAGAAACTGACTCCTCAAGCTCACGCTCCAGGACAAGCTGGGTCACTCTAGGTCACTTGATGGTCCTTTCTGATCTTCAGCTCCTTGCACGGAGTCAGGACAAATCTCAGAGCCAGGAAAAGCCTTTGACAATGCTCTCCGTTAACCAGGCAATGCTGCCTATGGCGAAGATGGGCGAATTCTTTCCTCCTCTTCACAGGCCTGAATATGTCCTACATCATAGAACTTTCCGCATTGCGCTGACTAGAAAGATGTTCCCCGAAAGGTCTGATTAGTCAGTACAGATGCATTCCCAAAGTGCAAAGGCACTTAAGAATCAAGAGAGGGAAGGCAGAGAAAGCGGAGCCAGGCACTTCCCTAAACTTGGTGTGTACAATTCTAATTAGAATATACATGGAGTAGAGAGAGGCAAGTGGAGATTAAAAATAAAAACGGGAAGCATCAGTCTCAACATGTTCATGGTGTCTGGGTTGGGAATAAAAGATTTATAGGGCCACAGTCTCAGTGAAGTATATTCTACAGGATACATCGATTAAATCTGAGAACAGGCCAGAGAGCTGACTGGTTGCCGAACCTGACAACCTGAGTTTGATCCTTTGAAACCACGTGATATTAGGAGAGAAATGACTCCTACATGTTGTCCTCTGACTTTTGCCACACATACACACACGCACATGTATATATACACATGTGCACAAAGGCAACACATGTGCACATATACACAAATAAATGGAATTAGACATTATAAAATAGTTTAGAATCTGAGAGTAAATGGAAGTATTTGTGTGGGAGCAGGGAGAGAGGGATGGAAGAAGGGATGGAGAGAGGGAGGAGAGAGTGGAGTGGGGCTGGGAAGATGACTCAGTGGACAAAGCACTGAACCTACAAAATCTAGGGACTTGAGTGTGGCTCCCCAAAAGCCCCACTGAGTTGGATACATGGCATGTATATCTGCACCCCAGTGCTCTTGGGGTGAGGTGGGAAGCAGAGACAGCACAATGACCCCTGAAAGCTTCCGTGCAGCTAGCCTTGCATGAGAAGCAAAGAACACAAGACCTGTCTCAAGCAAGGGGGAAAATAGGGGCCTCCGACCTCCACATGTGTGCTGTGGCCCCCACGCACAAACACATCAGACATGCCAAAGAAGAATTTTTGGTAAGGGGGGGGGATGATGGCAGGTTGGGGTGTAACTAGGGCACTTGATCTGAGTGTCAGAAGAAATATCAGTAATTTTAAAAAGAAAATATCTAATTTCAAAGAACTATAGACTCATCTGGACTTATGAATAATAGCATTTTTTCCAAACCCCGTTTTCCTTTACAATTTAAAGCTGGTTTTTATGTCTTACTCTTTAAGCTAAAGATTTAACAGGAGGCTTCTTCATGCCCACATTTAAGAGGAAATTCAAATCTGGTGGCTAGAAACCTGATGCTAGGCAGGTTGGGTGCCCCCCCACTGCCCCCGCCCCGATTTGGTTCAAACAAAAGTTAAGGGATAAAAAAGAAAACCAGTGTGTAAAACATCTCTGTGGGGAGAAACTGAAAAGGGGTCAGTAAGAGAGTGAGGAGACCGCCCAGGGGGGCAGCAAGAGGGTGAGGAGACACCCCCCCTCAAGGTCTCTGGGGAGCCAGGGGCAGCAAGAGAGTGAGGAGACCTCTGGGGAGATACAGTAGCTGTTGTCTGAGCTCCTAGTTTGGCTTGGAGTAATTTTTTTGCCCCAGAAAAGATAAAGTAGGTAGAAAAACAACTTGAAATGTACGTTTGTAAAGGTAGGGAGAGTTGTAAAAGTCCAGGCACTCGAACTTTCCCGGTAACATGATCAACGAAGGCATAAGTGGTTCATCGGGTCTGGGAAGTCAGTTTCATGGGAACACCTACATCAGATACTCTTGGGGTTTTCTCCTGCTCCATTAGGAACTTATCTCCTCTGCTCATCTCTCTCCTCAGCTCTCCCCACCTCACCTTCTGCTTCACCTAAACCTTAGCAGTGTTTGCTAAACCCGGAGAATGACAGAAGAAAAGGTAACTGCTGGGGACAGAGGGGAGCAGAGGCCACCAGAGACGCTGCGTCCCCTGGGGAAGGCGCACCAGGGAAAGAAAGGTGGGGGTTATAGTTGTCCCATTCCACCCAGAAAACAGTCTTGTCTCCAAGAGTTGTCCCTGTCATGGTGGACTCAGGGCTGCTTTTCCCCAGGGAAGATGGTCAAATTCTGAGCTCAGACTGCCATCTTTGGGCTATTATGTACATACAAACCCTCCCTCCTCTCGTTACCTCAGTTTACCCCGAGGACCACCTCCTAGTAACCCCAATGGGAATCAGCTCAGATCTCCTCCTGAAGCTGCACTTGACCAGCTGGGCCTTTGGTGCCCACATCAGTCAGTAGTTTGGTTTGTACTTCTTGGCATAGCACAGCTTGCCTGGCATACAGTGGATAGCACTGAGGTTCATGAGCTCTGGTCTCGGACTTCTAGGGTTCAAACCTAGCCAGTACCACATACTAGCTATCCACAGTTTATATCTGTACCTTGACTTATATCTCAGGTCATAGTGAGGACCCAGAGAGCAAATGTGTCAGCATCAAAACAACGCCTATACTTGCAAATCCCATCAATTACTTCTTTTGCTGGTGTCTCCAGCTCTGCTAATAGCTTCCAATGGAAGAGGATACTGACTCAGCTTCTCTTTTGTAACCATCACATCTAACATAGACGAACACAGAAGTTCTCGGAATGTGTATGAGATGGATCACTTTTGCTAAACAAGCCAAAAGCCCACTGCATGGTAATACGTGATGTTAGATTCATTTCCTATATCCCTAGACTAATTACATCATTAATGAGAACATAGACACAGAAGGGACATACATATGTGTATATCACACACACACACACACACACACACACACACACACGGTGGAAGGATTTACCGCATGTACAAGCAGAGCCACGGCATGGAGACTGTCTATTCCCTGTGCCCAGGCCCACAGGTGGCCCATCTTTTTATTTAACTTCTGCTCTGCCAAGCATCCCCTTTCTGTATAAGACCATGGTTTAGAATCCATTTCATCCTTTTTGCACTGAGGTTTCCTTTTCTCTTATATGTCTATGAATCTCAGGCTGACATAAGTTCACCTGGAAAAATAGCAGCGAGTTTCTCCTTGTCTGGATTATTATTTTTGGCATCCACCTGCCCACCCCTTCTTGGCCTGTGCAGATGGACTGTATTCTGTGGAGGAGGGTGCTTAGACCATGAAATACATCCCAAGGTCCCGAGAACCACCAAACAAGCCATCCTTCTGTTTAACAGTGACCTCTGCACCTGAATGCAGAGACTCAGAAACTCTAGAACCTTCTGTCCTCTAGTTGCTAGTGTAATAGCGACAGAGGGGCCGGGATAAACTCTTGCCTACAGGAGGGAGGCTGTTCCGCATAGATTACAAGGAGGTACACAACGCAGGCGGGTTATCGGCGGCAGCAGCAGGCATGAAGGCTTCTGCACAAACCTCGGCCTTCTCCTTGGAGGCAATATCTTATCTTGAGTCCCCGGCTCCCTGGAGGGCCCAGCTGCTTGTCTGTATGTGCAGATGTCTGTATGCTCGAATCCTTGTATCCTTGTGCGAGGCAGTTGCTTGCCAGCACTTCCTCCTAAGTCCAGGGCTAAGTATCAACAGCACCTGAAACCCACCATGGCTTCCTGAGCGCATCTGATCTATTTAGTGTCGTCCCAGGCCTGCCTTCTTGTCAGTTTGCATCTGGACCTACAAACAGCAATTTGTTCTTCGGGGTCAGGCATGGTGTAGGGAACGTTGCTGCTGCTGGCTGTCCAGGACTGCCAGCAGACAAAGAGGACTGCCAGCAGACAGGAGATGGTGCCCAGCCTCCTTCCCTGCAGGGGTCTCTACATTCCAGACTGGGACCCTATTGTCTGGCATCCAACTTGGAACACAGGTTTATAAGCCTGGTGTTCTCAGGGGCACAATGTGGGCGGAAGGAAAAAGAATCGCGTTTATTTCACGTCCACCCACAATGCTAACATCCAAAAATCACAGCTCCCAGATGGAAATAAAGAGCAGAACTGCTCTGGCGACAGAAGCCTTTCAGTGGTCACCGTCCTGTCTCAGATAGGCTCAGCACCTGTAGCAAGGACGCCTTTGGTCTCCTGTCTGTGACAAGGGCACTGCCCCCATGTAACTCAGTGTTGTCCCAAAGTGCCACAGTGCTTCCTCCAGCATCACACACACACACACACACACACACACGAACAACAATATGTAGCCAGATGAAATGATCCCAGAATTGCTAAACACACACACACACACACACACACACGAACAACAATATGTAGCCAGATGAAATGATCCCAGAATTGCTAAACACACACACACACATACACACACACACACACACACACACGAACAACAATATGTAGCCAGATGAAATATTACAGAATTGCTAACCACACACACACAAGAACAACAACATGTAGCCAGGTGAACTATCACAGAATTGCTACACACACACACACACACACACACACACACACAAGCTTTACTGTCTGATGTGAACTCTGCTCTCCACATTCACCATCCTCTCCCCTCACCCCAAACTGGCCATGAACATCAACCGTGATGATAACACAGAACTGATATACAAATAGCATGCCACACACTCAAAAAAAAAAAAAAAAGGCTTTTAGACTTACCTGCGGGGGTCATGAACTTCCACGGAAAACTTCTTTTCCCTGAAATACAGATTCTCCAACTGTCTCCATTGGAATATCTGGACGGAAAACAACGGAGTTTAAATTCAGAAGCAGTGAGTTCCCTGGTCTCCGTTCCTTCTTCGCTGAGTAACTTTTTCAGCAGCTGAGAGTTTCCTTATCAAAGCAGAGACCTTACAGTTGTTGGTGCCTCCTCCGGGTAGCCTGCCTACTACTAGTCCTTGAAACACACACACACACACACACACACACACACACACACACACACACACACACACCAGTGGGTGTGGATTTTTCCTGCAGGTTCCTTAACAGGAACAAAACAAGTTCTTTTTCAAGTTTGTTCTCCTTTGGCTCCTGCCTTTGTTGAATTCTCTAAGACAGTTCCCAGCTCGCAGACTTTTCCCTCCAAGGAGAGGGAGAGGGGGTGGGGGCGGGGAGATGAGAGGAGGGAGGAGAGGACCGGAGCCCGGGAACACGGCACTCAGGAGGGAGCGGTAGCCATCTGCGCACGCTGAGGGCTGAGCCGCGCTTCCTCCCCTCGAGTGCTGAAATGGGAAGGCGTTCAAATTCCCAGCCTCCCTTCGGGACTCCACTTCCTGCCGCTAATGTGCAAGAGCCTCAGACATCCTCACTCGCTGGAGGGCGGAGGCTGTTGCGACCATAGTTGGGGGCAGGCGACTCAGGATCACAGTGTGTGCTTGTCAGGCTGCTTTTTCCCCCTCCAGCACAAAGCGGGGGAAGGGAGCGGGGGAGGGTGCGGGGGCGACGGACAAGAGTTCTGGCGCTATAGGGATACTGCTGTCTTGCCTTGCCAGCAAGAGAAGGTCCATGGAACTCCAGGAGTGAAAAAAGCTGTTCTTGAGGTTGGGAGGCAATTAGGGCGCTTTGGATTGCTCTAGGAGCGGGGTGTCTTTTTCTGGATGAAAGTGAAAGTTACTGAGCCGTCTAGGGAATGTCACCAGAGGCTAAAGCTTTGTGCAAGCGGGTTTGCATTCATTATGCCCACGGAGCTTCCGTTTCCTTCTGTATACTTAGAAGTGAGTTTGTTTTGATCAAGAATAAACCAGGGTGCCTGATCTTGTCTTTCCCGGAGAGAATGGCTGGTTCTTCCCAGCAGGCCTGTTTGTCTACTCCATATGGGGGCATAGCATTTTAGGTTTAGTTCCACACTGAGTCCCCAGCTCATTACAGACATGCACCTTTCAGATAGGAAGGTCATTTCCCTGTGTTCCATAAGCCCTGTTTTCCCCAGGCCCAGAACGCAGTTAGTCAATACTTGGCCAGTGAATTTACCACCCAAGTCAAACTGGGCTGCAGTTAAAACCCGTTTCTAGAGCGGCTGCATTCTCTCTCAGCTCACACTCTCCTCGGCGGGGTGGAGTTCTAAAATGATTTTGTCTGCATGGGTAACCTGAGGGGCGAGGAGCAACTATTGGTTCTCACCAAGGAGCCACCTCTTCACCCACAGGGCATTTGACTCTGTCTCCCTGGAACCAGTCTCCCTGTCTCCCTGGAACCAGTTTCAAGTGAGCATAGAGACAATGCAAGGATAGCAAATGATCCAAAGTCCTGCCCTGGCTCAGATGCTCTGTGTCCATCCCGCCTTAGTCAGTTAACTATGCAGAACTCAGTCACAGGCGGTGGGTGCTCTGCCTCCACGAATCCCTCAATGGAGACACTTCCAGTCTCTGATAGCTGCTCACTCTATGACCTTGGCCTTACATGCAACCTGCCAAACTTGCTGGGCGGTGGTGGCACATGCCTTTCATCTCAGTACTTGGGGGGCAGAGGAAAGGGTTCTCAGTGAATTCAAGGTCAACATGGTCTACCAAGCGAGTTATAGGACAGCCAGGCCTGTTACACAGAGAAACCCTGTCTAAACAAAACAAAACAAAACAAAAAACAAAAGAACTAGAACTCTAACCTGCCGTGCTGTAGAATGTCATGCATGGCTTTAGAGTCTGAGCCTCTGTTTACATCCGGATTCCCCACCTTTCGACTCACTGGCCTTTAGCTTGCAGCAATTGTCTTAGCATCGGTTTCCCCATTTGTAAAATGTTAAGAATAGCTCCTGTAAGATGGATCTTAACAGCAGCAGATCCTGAACTCCGCAGTGGTATAAATAAGTATACAACAAACATGGAGCTCACTGTGTTTTCCGTGTGCTCTTTGTGCTCCCAGATTCTACCAAATGAGAGGGAGTTAACTGCAAAGCCACCAGAATGCTTTCCTTAAGTTTCTCGTCTTGACTTGGAGCTTAAAGAATTAAATTAGATTATGCGTGTGCTGGAAATCTTATAATAAGTATAAAGGCCTCTCTCTCTCTCTCTCTCTCTCTCTCTCTCTCCCTCTCCCTTCCTCTCCTCCCTCCCCCTCCCTTCCCCTCCCTCTAAAGATGTGCTTCTTAGACCCTGCTCTGTATCCACCCTAACCAAGCACAGTGGATCCTTGCACAGAACTGACTTCCTGGATGTGTGACTTAAGAGGCTCATGCACCTGCTGTTGCCATCGTGAAATTCCCAATGTATTTTCCTCTACTTGTGTGGATCCTACCACACAAGTGATATAGTTGGTCCTTGTCTCAGCAGCGTGGAGTGGAGGTGGGAGCTGGGAGTCACATCTGCGTCGGATGTACAGACCACAGAAGGTAGACCCCTCCCCAGGAAGAAAAGAAGCCACACCTGGCGTGAGCGCTTTGGAGTAAACCCCACTTGTGCCTTCTTTTGGAAGTGCCTCAGGCCTGATAAAGAATCCTGGAGCACAATGCTCAGAGGGTCGGTTTCCTGGCAACTTCTTCTTCCCCAGCTCCTTGCAAAAATATAAAACCCACACCATGCCTTTCCTCTAAGTGGTCCCTGATGCTGAGCAGTGTGGAGATCGGTGTGGCTGCCAAAGGGCCCAAACAAAACCATCTGGGCTTACTGCCGCCCCTCATTTTAGCCAGGGTGGCTGCCCAGGGAAAGGGGAAGGGCTTCTGCCTTGCTGCTGCGCTAGAGGGTGAACCTGGAGTCCTGATCCCCAGGGTGTGTCCCCGGGGTGATGTATTTTCTGTAGAAATTTTTGTAGCAGGGGCAGAACAGTGGATTCCCTGATAGCTGTTTTAGCACAACTTTATTTTGCAAATTAAATACTGGGAAGGAAAGGTGGGAGTAGAAAAAAACGAGTGGGTATTTTGTCTAGATCTGATAGCTGCTTGGGCCATAAGAAGAATCCCAAAGGAATGGATGAGGACCTGCAGCTACACTGCCTGCTGCTCTTTTTCCTCACTTGAGAGAGGGTGGAGCTAGGGAGTCAGCAAGCTGCTGGTGGTTGCAGTGGGAGGAGTTGGAAGGCTCTAGGGGTGGGGAGGGCAGGGACAGCTGTTGCTGGCAGCAGGGCTGGATGTCATTTAATCTGAAGGCTCTTCATGGGGGTCTAGGGCATTTCTGTTCATGTGTTGCTTAGAGCCCCTGGCTGCTCAACACTCAGCTCTCAGTCTGGCAGAGCAAGAGAGCAATAAGGAAATAAGCAAAGGGAAGATGCTTGGCTCCCCTGTAAATGGGAGGGATGAGCTATTACTATCCTTGGGGCCACTCCAGAGGGGCCTCCATGACCTGGTTCTCAGAGATCCAAACTATCCCTGCAGGGTCATCAGTGTGATTTGAGACTCCACACAAAGACTCACCAGACAGTTGACAATTGTGGCGAACACTGGGCTAGCGCCCATGGACTCCAGCTACTTCCGATGGCCATTATATGCCAAAGGAGCTAATTATAAGCATAGCTTAGCAGTTCTATCAGTAATCAGGGGGTTCTACTGATTAATACCTGTTAAGTCAAGGGACTCCAGCTAGGCATCTCCACAGGGTTCCACACAGTTTCTTTGCTCATTTAGCAGCCCCTCCCCCAAGGAAAAAAAAGTGGAAGTTTTTTTGGAGGGTGGAGGAGAAGAAGCAAGACCCACAGAAATGAGGGGAAACTGCCTAGGGCCACACAACAAGTTTCTGAAGGAACCAGAAATAGAAGTCAAGGGCACCTGGTTCATTACTCCAACCACTAACTATGCAGCTTTTCCCAGGAGTCCACCAATTAGTGCCAACAGCTCTCGCTCGCTAATGGGTGGTTAACTTTACAAGTGGAGCACTTTCTCACAAATGAGCAACAGCGTGGCTGTGAGAAGGGCAGCATCGGACCAGGGGTTTCTCTCCCCTACACGATCGCTTCGCTTTTCATTCACACTGCAAATTACAACACGTGTTCCTTTTTTCTTCCTGGAGACCTAGCTTCGTCCAGGCTTCTCCAAAGCAACTGCCTCAATAATCAGCAGCTTTAGTCAAAGACTAAGAGACAATGACTATGATTAACAACAGCCCGATGACTGGGTTTGCATGGGAAATAGAAGCTTAAGAGGACTGGCATGGTGGCTCTTGCTTGTGAGCCTATCACTCAGAAGGCTGAGGCAGGAGGATCATATATATATATATATATATATATATATATATATATATAATCAAGATGCCATCTCTAATAGTAAGAATCATAGTAATGAGTTAAGAGACTACTCCTCCCCCCAAAAATTTAGAGAAACCATCAGGAAGGTATGGTGTTTGTCACCATATACTGAACCCCAATAGTCCCAGATATGAGTTCCCAGTCTTTGACTTAGCCTTCCTATGGCCATAGGTCTGCTACTTTCCCATTCTAGACCGGAGTGCCCTCATGTATAAAACCGAGATGGGAATCATTTATCCACAGGGACCAAACAAAAGTGGCCAATAACTATTGTTTTGGGGCCCTGGATGTGACAGGGTGTTCTGTAAATCCGTAATGAGCAGGGCCCTCGTGGGCCCTGGCTCCTATTAGCCAGTCCACTGGATACCCATATCCTGTGCGTGGCTGAGGCTGTGGCAGAGGAAGGCACCTTGGCTCCACTTCCTCTCCAGCCAGCATTTATGAAGCACTGTGGGATAGCCAAATAGAGTAACAAGCAGGCTGTCAGGATAGTGTAGGAATAAAGACTTGAGAGGAAGCTAGGCTTTGTGGCTCTGATTCTTGACAAGGACTTTTGGGAGCCTTG